AAGATCATCAAAAGATGATTAATTTGATATATTATATATGTAAAACCAATAAGAAATACAAAAGTTATCAACTTTTAAAATACATATATAATTCAATAGCTTATTGAAGGAAGCAAATCAAAATTCAGGGATAAATTAGTCACTTAGTGCCTCACTGTGTAAAATTACAAAGAATTAAAGAGTTATATTAGTAAAAGTGATATTAAAATACCTAAGTTAACTAAATAATATTTATGGAATACCCGAACCTAAATTATTAATTATTAATATATCAATATTATTTATTTAAACCTAATTACGAAGCATGATTATTCGCCAAATAGGATTCCGAAGTACCAGAAACAGCCACGTAAGCGCATTCGGGAATTATATATAGGGAGGATTTGCAACCACAATAAATTAGTTAGATGGATCTATAATATAATAGTCCAACTTTTGGGCCATATTTTCCAAAAAAAAAATAAAAATAAAATAAAATAAAAAAATAAATAACCAAGCACCACTACCACAGGGGAGATGGGCCTTTATAACAAAATTAAAACTTAACTATTATAAGTCACTTATTAACATATATTTGTGTAAGATGTTGCTTATTACATATTAATTTCTTTCCATAAATTACATAACAACAATCTATATCTATATCTATATTAAAAGGCAACCTATTTACTAAAAATAGTAGCAAGAAAAGTCAACACACATTTAATGCAAACCTTATTTGAAAATTTTTTACTATATGCATTAAATGCTTGCATATTTACATTTACTATCCAGATATGATATTAAAGATTTTTTCTTAAATAATTTATGCAATGATTTTACTGATATCCATTATAATTAATATTTGTCGAGTAGTATTTTTAACCTTTATTTGATTATATAAAATTAATATTTTTTTTAAAAAATTAATGTTAGTTATCATTTAAAAGATAATGATCACATCATTAAATAATTTTATTGATGGGTGTCAACTATGATAGTGTTTTTATCACTTTTTTTTTGTTATGTTTCAAAAATGAACTTATTGTAAAATATTTTTCTATTGCATAGTATGTTAAATAAACTATAAAGCCTTAGGATAAAAATTAGAAAAAATCTCTTGATTATGTAAGAGATTTATTTTTTGGCAATTGCTAAATCATTTTTTTTTTAAATTAGAATTATTATGAGAAAATTGAATTCTAAAAAACATGTGTGTGTATTTTGTAAACATTTATACTCAAAATTTTATTTTGAATTTCATTACATAAAGAAGACTACTTCTATAACTTTTATAAATAATAATAATGACATTATATGACTATAAATTTCATAATAAAATAATAATTGAATATTATATGGTGAACGAGAATAAATAAAATTTTTATTTTTTCTTATATCAATGAATAAATATGTATTCAAAAATCAAATAAATATTAGTATGACGTGTTAGCGGAATTATATATTAATTAACATGTTAATTTTTTTACTTAAATAAACGCCACTTATTAAAAGATGTGAAATATGAATGATCCAAGTCTATTATTTTTTTGTCTAGACGTACAAGTCCTATAAAAATAATTGATTTATTATATGTATCACGTGCATCGCACGGGATATGCACTAGTAAGTTAACTATCATCGAAACCAAATTTATTTACTTTTCATATATTGCCAATTAGCAGTAAGTTAATCACCATAAATTACTCTTTCTTTTCTTTTTTTAAATAAATAATTTCTCAATGAAATATTGAATTATTTTGATACGTGTTAACTAAAATGTCTAAATTATTTTGTTGTCGTAGCAATACACTTGAGTCTTGAATGATACAAAAAAACCAAAAGAAAAATAAATTATCATCACACCATAAATTTTTAGTCTATTCGCCGTGTGGGAGCTCGAGGTATGGTGGTTTCGGTTCATCGGTCGTCGCTGGCAGCCTTGTGGCGATCGGAAGGTGGGCTGATATTTGGCTTCCCCGTTCTTCTGCCTCCTCTGGTGTCGAGATGGCAGTTTCCTCCAACAGTGTCGGTGGGGTGACAACAATTTTATTCTATAAACTCACGATATTGATTATCTAAAAGTACAAAACACATATTATGAGTGCCAAACATATTTGGTCACGTAGTCAATTATGTAACCATCTTTATTTTTATTTTTATTTTTGTTTTGGAGGTTAAAGTTAAAAAGGTTCCCAAATTCTTAGACAAAAAAACCGATGTCAAGAAATGGTATGAAATTATGCACGCATTCCACTAAATATGCTTAATAAATAATTATAAATTGATTACAATGTTAATTACATCGAACAGCTAACCATATGAAAATATCTGTATTAGATATTCAATTTGCACCTTCTATTTTTCTCACATTTCATACTCTATATTTTTTAAATATAAATTACCGTAATTTCAAAATGTCTGTTAAAATAGTTTTTTTTTTTTGGTAGTCAACCACGGTATCTGGAGCTATGTCCTAACTAATTCGTTGGTCGACCCAGATCGCACACCTGACAGTGGTGGATGAGTCTCCCAACAAAGATTTTCTGCATCCACAAGCGAGACCTTGCTTAAGCTAAAATAATTTTTTAATAACCTGATTTTTGTAACTGAGATTATAAAAAAAGGTCGAATTAAATTAAGCCTTAAAACAAGCC